AAGACAGGAGGGCCTCTGCTAGTTTAAACGAGCAAACAAACAACATGATGAACCAACTGTCTATATGTAGAGGAGTGAAGAACCCATCCTTACAAAGATTTACAGCTCCTGGTTTTACTAAAATACACACAGCCTGCACCTTTGACTCTTAGATCAGTGTAAAGACTGCAAGCCCATAGCAAGGCGATATAAACTGTGATTAATGAGCGGGAGAGAGAGAGAGTGTGTCAGTCATCAAAGAGTTTATCATAGCACACTTACGTATAACCAGAGAGCCAGATGCCTTCACACTGATAACAAGCGGTCATCCCATTACCTTAAACATCAAAGTGGGGCAGGAGCTGAGTCGCTCTTCCCCCTCTCTCTCTCTGTGGAATGTATTTCCCTGTTTGGTAGGCGTGAGAAATCTCCATCGGTGTGTGTATAACATATATATGTGTGTGTGTGTGTTTGTGTGAGTGTGTGCTTCGGAGCCTCAGAGGTGACATTCCACTGTGTCAGAGCAACAGCCTCAAGTTTAAGATAACACAGCCACGGTGATCTAAGGGTGGGAATCGATTCCCCCCGATGGCAGGCGAGGACCTCGGGTCAGAGCTGATGGCTTTACCTTCCGCACGCAACCCGTGAAGCAAAAACACAGTAATGCTCCCATAATCATCGCTCAACAACCCTATGGAGAGATATGGAACGCACTATGAGGTGTTTCTCAGTATCTTTCATCTATGACAATTCCAAGTGCTCCTGTAATAGCCTATTCCTGTAGGAACTGTGTCGTCTTTAAGCATTTATCGCAGGACATTTACGGGAAGGAAACTTTTGTCAAGTAAAGGCAATGGGGCCCCATCTAGTCTTGTTCTAGTCCTACATTCCCTGAATAATGATCTATTTTAGTCCAGAAAATGCATTGATATTTGCATTTATACATTTTATAGAGATGTTTTTGGCAGGAAGGGTGCAAATGCTCAATTAGTGATTACGCTTTTGTTGAAATCAGAAGAAGACTTATTTTCTGCAGATTGATAGGTTTGGTTCATGAGCCTGTCTTTAAGAGAGGAGTGATTAATGATTGACTGTACCTATGAAATCCTTATATTTGCTCAGTTTCTGGGGGTAGTTTTTATGCATATTGTTTCAGGGCGACAAGTCTTTTGATGGCACAACCTGAACGCATCATCATTTCAATTCAACAATTTGAAATATTTAGGAAAGATTTAATATCAAAAGACAGTTTGGAGTTTAAAACTATACATTTTAAGATGATTTTGTTTTCCCATTTGTCTTTGTTGTTTTAATCATGGTGTTCATAGGTTAATAACTACTTATTTTTCATCAGTTATGTAACCACACAGGCTATTCAGTTTGCGTTATGACCCACATCCACCCCGTATATCTGTTAGAGCTCTTGGGGTAGCTGCTGTAGCACCTGCAGGAGACTCCCATGCTGACCTGTGGCTTGGAGGACATCTGGGAATATCATGCATGCCTCCCACAGCTCTACATTCACGCTGTTCAAACAGACCACCGGCTAATTATGGCTTCCCCAGATCCCTGAGCTGAAGAAATCACTACAGACTAAACCCCGGGTATGAGGTGTTTACTTTTGCCCCCTCCACTGCATGGTTTAGTAGTTAGATTCAGCAACAAACAATGAAAATAAACTCGGCTCAAAGTACTGAGACTATGGGATATGAGTTTGTTGCCAAAAAAGTGAGGTATTTAAAAAAAAATTGTGTCAAATAACCACCCTTGTTTTATTAGTTTGTGAGTCAGCCTCTTGTTATAGAGCTGCAATTGAAGCCTATAATGAATATCTAGACAATTGAGAGGTAAGAATGATACTTTCATATCTTTTATTCAAGATATTACCAAATATTTACAACACTCAAAAAGTGCAGACTCCTGATCCATTCAGCATTCTGTAATATCCCAAAAATAAATAACTTTTATTTGAGTGGGGAGAAGGAAATTCGAGTCTGTGTAGAAAAATAAATACGAAATACTTCATTTGCTGTGAAACATTGTCACAGGATGTCACAATGTGGAATGAATTGTCATTTTTCTCTCATGTTTCAAAACAGAGCAGTTCCTCAGAGCTCATTTAGTTTTTACAACATTCATAGTCGCAGTGGTCTTTCTTTCTTCATATCCGTCCTGTCTGTCCTAAGTGCTCCCCTGCAAACATTACAGTCCTTGCAACGGGAAATATGAAAAGGCTGCTCTCCTCTGAGGCCTGAAGCACAGTCGCTGGCTCTTCAGTTGTGTTAAGCCTGTTTCAGTCCATCTGATCCACTGGTTCTTCAGGCTGGATGATCTGTGAAAGAAATATAAATCTGATTAAGAAAAAAAAAATTACAATGATGTAATCTGGTTGTGACCTATGAGGTAGCCATAAGCAATGCAAACATCTCTATATGTATTCAGAAAAAAATGCATATTTCCTACTTTGTAAGCAGCAGTTTAAGTTTAAGGTAGCTGGTGAAATGTTGTGGCTGTCTTACAAATCATGTGGCAAATATTTTTATTTTTATTTTTTTATATTTGTATTCAGTCTGGAGCGACCCACACCCCTTTCATTACGAAATGAAACAGACTTAATTACTTTTAGGAGTGGTTTATGCCATACAAATATTGCAGCTAAAGTATATTGGAACATTACAACTACTTTTCATCCGGGTGGTTGTGCGTAAAATGTGCATTTTGGCACAGCTCGTCTCCCTGCAGGATGTATAGTGAAAGTCACTCATCTTACCTTTCTGTACCATCCACAGCAGCCCTGTTAGTGGGTAGTTGTAGACAAGGACCACGAGCCCCCCATTCTCCAGACCGAGAACGCGTAGCTCAGGCGCTCGTTCGCCACGTAGCTGCAGCTGGTCCCCCGCGCGTCCAGCTCATCGCTCTGCAGAACTTGGCACAGGAAGTCGATGTACCGGGCCGCCAGCTTCAGCGTCTGGATCTTGCTGAGTTTGTCCGACGGGAGGGTGGGAATGATCTTACGTAACGACGTGAATGCCTCGTTGAGGGACTGCGTCCGTTGCCGCTCGCGGACGTTGGCCATCACGCGCTGTGTCTGTAGGTCATCGAAGGAGGGCGCGGGGCTGCTGCTGGCTTCGCTGTCGCCGCTCCCTGCGCTGCCGCCTCCGCCCTCGCAGCTCTTTCTGCATTTCTTCGTCCCGGGGCTCGGACTCTCAATGTCTCCCTCCTCTTCGTCCGCGCGCCTCCGTGTCACCCGCCGCTTCCTCGCGCCCCTCCGCGGCAGCTGACGGTCGGTCTCCTCCTCGCTGTTCCCTGCACTGTCCATTGGGGAGGAGTCTTCTTCCCGCATAGTCTTCCAAACCGTTTCTATAGTCTGTAGGAGCGTAATAACTCCTGACCCAAATTCAACGAACTGGATACATCAGCAAACACGACAGGTAATACGAAGTGTGGCCTGTAAAGGGGTGTGGGCGCCACGGAGAGGGAGAGGTGTCTGCAAGACTGGGACGACCGGGGCTCTTATAGCGGGTATAGCGGGCAGGAGGATTTTGGGGAGCGCTGTGATTGGGTGAGGAGGGGTGTAACACAATACTGCAGGGGAAGGAGAGTTCTAGCTATAATATCAAAAATTGTGTTAAGGCTGCTTTACGCCAGATTGCGTAAGGGAAAGTGTACAGAGGCGGTATAATTGAATCACAGGTGTAGATTTGTGCAAGAACAGGAACTGTTTTTTTTCCCCCCAAAATGAATAATGCTGTTTCTTATTCTTTGATGTATTGTAAATCAAACAAATCAACTCTCTGTTCAATGTCTATAAAAAAATGTTTGACAATAGGGCTAATTTTTGCCATTTTCCAACTTATTTGTAACAGAAATCCCCCACAAGCCTGCTGTGTGTTGTACAGGTCTAGACACTGGGAGCAGTGGTGGCGGTGAAAGATATCAAACCTACTGAAACACAGGAGGTTGTCACAGCAGGAGGTCTCTGCTCGTATAAGCAGAGGGAGGTGTTTATTTTCCCGTCAGCGGCCCCGCGTTGAGGTATGCGCTTAAATGGGTCTGACTCCCGCAGGGATCTGGACACCGCGGCTCAGGTTTAAAAGACGGGCCGTCCCAGGTTGCTCTCAGGGCGGATCCTTGCTCACAGCGGGGTCGCTGAAGGCGGTGTACGGCTGGAGCGCAATGCAAACACTGGAGGTGATAAAGATGGACTAGGTAGAGAGAGGGAGAGGGAGAGGCAGGGAGAGAGAGAGAGAGAGAGAGAGAGAGATACTCGCACACAGAGTCTAAACACGCACAAATGACCACCCAGCTCTGGGGTTTACCACGAAACAATATCAAAATCCAGCAGGGATTCCTCTACATGTGGCTGAAACTAGATATGGCAACTTTTGGAGGTGGTCTGTGGTGTGCATTTTCTAAAGGGAGGCCTCGCCTCTGTTAGGCGGTTGACACACGAGGAGGTCCGCAGCAGTGGCGGTCTGGTCCCTTAACCTCCACCAGTGCCTTTCGGGCCTGGATTTCCCTGAACAGACTCAATTAACACCTCAGTGCTAAAGATAACATCCAGCGTCACGCAGTGAGCTTTGGGTTTGCCATTCAAATCCGCCGAATCTTTACTCATTTGCACGTGACACGGTTGATAAAGGCTTTAAAGGGCCAATGCAAATTTCAGATTTGTTCTCACTTTCTTTTGAGGTAAAGCTGCACTCAATCACACCTGATCGACGTTTGACATCAGGCCAGGTGAGACTATGCCGCTCTCCAAGGTGCTGAAATAACACCTGGAGCTTCAGTCTTGCATAGAAATCTATATATGTACATATAGCATATCCTCTAGAAAGTTATATTAAACGTTACTGTTTTAAATATTTACACTTTTCACATATTTTAATGCAGCCATTTAATACAAAAAGAGATTTGGGGTCATAAAACTGTCAGGGCATTGACTGAGCATGATCGTATGATCCTATAGTGTCCTGTAGTTCAAATTAAATGTAGAGCAAAGAACACATTATTGTAGTAGATTTATTTTAAGGCACAACATATATTAAGTCAAATATTTAGAGGAGGTGCTCTCGGCTTGTTTAGGTGACGTCTAATAATGTATGTCGTTGGCAAAATAATATTCTGATGTAATTGCTTTACTTTTCTGTGTGATAGGAATATTTGAAAACGTTGTCAAGAAAACGTCTGTATAGTTTCAAATATGTGTTGGTTTTCTTGATTTCAGAAATTGACCCACATCACAGTTTGGGTAAAGATGACATGAATGTAAATTTTGAACAGTTCATCAGTTCGAACAGGTGATTAATAAACGCAATACAATCTCCAAGGAATAAAGTTCACATTGGACTAATCTGACTCAGGTGTTCTCCAGCAGGTCCGTCATGAAGGAGATGTAGACGATGGCCAGACGGAGAGTGTCGATACGGGACAGTCTCTTCTCGTAGGCGAATGTAGGAACTTTCCTCCTCAGTTCATCAAACGCCTCGTTCAGGCTAAACATCCGCTTCCTTTCCCGCACATTGGCCGCCTGCCGCTGGACCACGGAGATGATCCTCCTCCGTTTGGACTTGCTGTGATGCCCGTGCGCTCCGCGGCTGTAGTACTTCGGCGCGCCCATGACGGCACAGATATCCACAGTGCGCACGTCGTTTTCCAAGTCGCTCCAGGGCGAATCGCTCAGCCGCGGGCTGGATGAGTCATTATCCACCTGCTGTTTAGCTCCCAAAGTGCACTTTTGCGGAAACTCCATCAGGTTCATGTCGTTGACAAAATCTATTAACGTGGAGTCGACTAAGCGGTCTTGCATCTCCACATTCAGTCACATACAGCAGTCTCACAGAGAATAAGACACTTTTATAGCCTGTCTGCTATTCTGTCAAGCGCAAAAGTGACGCCAATCAAAGCTTTCAGGTCTGGCTGAACTCATTCAGCAGACGGAGAAACCAAAACAGAGAAGCATCTCAACAAGTCCAAATGTCTCCAAATCCGGTCAGAGCACTACAGGGTGAGATCCTATTTGGCTCAAGTCCAAGGACCTTTCCTGCTGTTTTAATAAGTCGCCTATGCCTCCTCACAGCGCGATATCTTTCATGTCCCCTCTACCTCTAAATCGAGTCCATTTCTAACTTTAGTCGGCCAGTGAGTGAGGGTGAATCCAAGGAGAGAGGCTTAAAAAGGCCAAGAGGAAGCCGGAGGACCCTGCCAATTGATGCGCTGTCCTCCTGGAGGCCCTTAATGAGCTTCTGAAGAACGGAGGCTCTTGACAGAGGGTCATACAGTCTTGTTTGCACTCTCCCCTCTGCTTCAGAGGCTAAATAATGACACTTTTATCACTTAAACAGGCCGGGAGAGGACCAAATAGAACATTCCCTAACAGTCACTATACACCACGTGCTATTCTGTTGCAAATTAAAGCAAATAACTGTCCGTTTCCATGGCAGGACAGAGTCCACACTGCAGGGACTGCTGAGAGAGCCACTGGTGTAACTGTGCGCTTTATACCTCTGGTGTAACTGCTCGGACACTATAACGAGCTTTGCATTACAGAGACCAAACTTGTTATTGTTGCTGATGATGACAGTGGAAGATGTTGAGTCTGATCATTTAAATCTGACTTGAATACTATGTTCCTTCAGGTTAAAGCTCAGTCACCCATTTCCATTGTTCACACTTCTCTGAAAACCAATAATGACAAAAATTGATACACAGTTCCCCAGAACTTCACATGCTTCATTTGTGCAGTATACAGCACATTTTTGCAGTTCTTTCAGTTTGTCCCTATGTGGGGAGGACACCAACTCAAATTTAATTTCATCATACTTAGTAAATTAGGTAGTTTGACTACGAACACAAACTCTGATTTACCTAATAATTGAATAAGCAGCGAGAAAGGTCACATTTCATACATAAACTGGATCTGTCCAGAACAAAAACAGTCTACAGACTTTTCGTCTCTTGGGGTTAAATAAGTTACTCAAGGGCAACTCAAGTGGTTTAAGGAGGAGAGACTGTGCTGTTCTAACAGTTTCTGAATTCAGCTTTTGTAGTGCTGGTGGTTTTAAAGCCCACTCATGATGATGGATTGTTCCAGAGGCATTGGGAAATCCTCACTTTTAGCTTCACAGAACTGAGTAACTGACTAAGTAACTGATCATATTAATACTGTCAAAATGAACTGATCTGTATGTTTATGATCAATTAACTGTGTTCATACACTGTGCACAGCTACGAAAGTAATGCACTATCATTTTCATACATCTCACAATTCATATGTAATCCACGTCATTGTGCAGCCAGGACAGGCGATATAGTATAATGGCAATATTATTTATATATTAACTCAAACTGCTTTATATTTAAAGTCAAACTATAACAATATTGGATAGCCATAATCATAAGAACATAGGTAGCAAAAACAACATAAATATATACATACATCCAACCACACAGCAACACACGCGCGCGCGCGCGCGCGCACACACACACACACACACACACACACACACACACACACAAATTAGGTCTGGGAGAATAGGAAAGGCTGCTTTTGAAAGTGGACACAGTTGTGGTGGACCTCCACTCATTAGTCAGCTCATTCCAGAGAGCAGGACCACAGTATCTGAAGACACCCTCACCAGACCTGGACCACCAGACTTTCATGTGACCGTGTGAAACCAGATGTCAATGTTGACTTATTTGCCGTGCAACTTCCGTACTTAAAAAACAAAAACCGGTAGTTATTTTAACCCAAATCCTGATCTTATACTAAACCTTACCAAGTAGTTTTGTTGCCTAAACAGGTTTTGCACTGCAGAGCCTTGTGCAGGCGCACTCATCACTCGATTCTTTTCAAAATATATCATACGAACCGTTGTATGAGGGTACATGTGAATACTTCAGTGCAAGAATTTGTCATCATATATGAATACAACTATGTTACACTTTGTTGACAAGTATTCATTGACTAGTTTTGGATGCTACATTGCTATCATTGCACCAACACATGTGTTGGTGCTATCATTGCACCAACACATATCACACATATCGTGAGAGCACAAGTATGTGCCTTGTATACACACTCTCAACCTAAGCGTATCTTCTCCATCTCCCCGCGCTGCCTCCTCTTCCTCTCGCTCTCTGTTTTTTCCCGGCAGGCAGATAAACACGATGGGACATTCCGCCCGTTGTCATGGAAACGCTGAGAAAGCACAGCTGGGCGGGAGAATATGAGGTAATCTCACCCTGGGGCTGCTGGGTAAATATTGGTCTTAAATAAGGAGTAAAACCCCAAAAGAGGCACACAAACACACACACACAGAGACACACACACACCTACAGGGGTTTATCGTCAGAGTGGAAACACACAGGACAGACCTTCACTTAGAGACTCATAATGGCCCGTTTCCTGCTCTGCTCTGTTATTATTGGTTACACAGAGTGAAATTAATAATAGTTTGTGGGGTGACTAAATGTTTGTGGAGTAAACAGAAAAAGGTTTTGATAGCAACAACCTCAGTGTTAAACCAAAAATGTTGCCAAGATGTCTGGATGTGAAGTGGATTTTCTTCATCTTTGAACAAGACTTAATGTTGCGTCTCAAATTATATACTTTTGTAAAACTTGCTATTTTTTTCAGCTTCAGTGAACTGGACTAACTGATCATATTAATACTGTACAAATGAACTGATCCACGAGGATAAGTTCTCCTTTGGCTTGTCCCTTCTGGGAGGTCAGAGGTTATGGTCGGACCAAGAGCAATATATCTCTGGAGCATTGCAGAGATTTGCATTTCAACTGAAGTTGCCATTCACTCATGCTGGTTGACAGGTCACTGATATTGGCTACTAGTTGTTGCTTTGGTTGCCCGTTATGAAGTTAGACCGCTTTATTAACAATACTAATAGCAAGTTTTGGTGACACTTTTTTAATCCGCCATTAGTTTTTAAAGTGCATACGTGTGTTCACACTGACAAGTATGGCAAAATGCAGTGCACAACGAGTACCTGGATGGTGTACTCATGACGTTCTAAAACTTGAGTGTAGAACGCTGAACACCTCTCACCTTCAATGCTCGCTATCTTGGTGACGTAGCGAAAGGGTTGAGGAACTACCAAACCGGCAAGAAAATGGCAGAGATGGCTCCTCCTTGTAGAAATCAGGGGGCACACACAAGAAATCAAATGTAAAATCATGTTAATTACTATCAGTTTTAATACAATTGTCAAGTTAGCAAACAAGATGTCAGGTATTTTGGCGAGCAATAACCGCGGCCAAATATTGGTGGTAATGCTCTGTCCGATTGCAATATGCCAATTAAAAGAAGAAGCGATCAAATATTGCGATCGTCATTTTCCGTAAGTGCAAAACAGGCGTGTTTGATTTGAAACAACACTACTCCGTTTAAATTCACGGACTACTTTATCTTCTTAGGGGCCACGATGCTAGCGTGGCTGATAAATTCTGTGTATTTCTGGTCAAGACAGGTTATTATGTCATTGCTATATTTCAAATGCAAAGTAGCACTTCAGTCCATGAATTGTAAATGAATTATCTTACAGCACATTGCAGAAAGACAATCTTGACACTACATCACTATTGCATGTTGAGTCCATATATCATCTTAATACCACGGTAAAATCTAAGCACCGGTAGGCGGCTTGGGAAGAACGGCTGTTCGGAAACATGATTTCACTACTCTCACAGGATCACTGAGGCTGGAAAAAAAGTGTGGACTATTAGTATGCAAGTATTGTGTTTATCCCGCTGCTGGAGAAATTGTCATTTAATCGTTTTTTTTTGTTTTTTTTGAAATATAGAGATCACTGGAGAACAGTATGTGTTCAGTGTGCTGCTCCAGAGCAGCCAGAGTTGTTCTCACCATGTAAATCTGTCTTCCTCCTCTGGCTCCTTCCTCAGTGTGCTGTAAGAGCACTGCCAAATCTCTCCCACCGCCACTGTAAATCTGAAAGGAGACACTCCTCTCTCGTTCTCTTTCATTCTTTCTCTTTCTTTCTCCTTGACACTTTTCTCCCTCTTTTTTTTATCTCTTGTTTTCATATACATACAGAACAACATTGGCGTAAGAGTGGAGGAACAACTGGTGTGACAAACGCTAAGCAGAGGCAGATTAATGTAGTTGTACAGTAACTGCATATGCAGACTTATATTTGCACTGTAAGCCTGTGTACATTGGCAATGTCCTTTGTCAGGGTCTCGCCAATTAGGCAAATTTGTAGTTGACAATGTGAGAGGGAGGGAGTCAGTGGGAAGCAGAGGGAGTGAGGGGGATGAGTTTAACTCCTGACCCATCTTCCTCTCCTTCATTGTGTCACTGGGACTCTCTTGGCCTTTCTTTCCTTCTCTCTCCATACCCAGAAGCTGACTCATTGGTTCACTTGTCCCACCTTCCTCTAGGTCCCGCCCTCTGATTGGCTGGACACTTTAACCCTAACCCTTTAACAGCCAGTCACTGGGGCGTTTACACGGCCGGGTGGGCCTGCGAAAGGTAGGGTTCATGTGTGTGGAAGTCGGGTAAACCCCAATACCACATCATATATCTCCCTGCTCTCCCTTGCTCCCTCCCTCTCCCAATTCCTCCCCCCCCCCTTTCTCCAAAGCTTCACCTCCTACTCGCCAAACTGCTGCAAGCCCTCAGCCCCTCCTTTCCAAATTACCCTTGTTCTCTTAACGCAACCTCTTTGCTCTCCCTCTCCACTGCCACACTGAAAACCTCATTGCGCGGCTCCCCCACCCACCGTCACCCATGTCAGCACCTTGCCTCAGCTCTCACACCCCCTCCTCCCACTCCTGGAGTCTGAGTAATGTCTGTGTTTATTTTCTGAAAGAAGGTTACCCACTCTCTGCTGTGTATTTTCAGGGTGCCATGTTTCATTTGTTTTAACGCTCATATTTTGAACTCTGGTGTATGCCGAGAAGTCTGAAAGAACGAGGAGACTGACTAAGCTGACAACAGTATTTTGGTCACCTGTAAGTGGAGCTCCACTGTTTAAAGTCATGATTCAGTAGAATCAATTCAGTCTGGATTTCTTGGTGTTCGTACTCATCTGTACTGAGTGGATATCCAGCAAATGGAAATGTTTTTCTCTATCTGTGGATGGATCCAGGAGCCTGAAGGCAGATCAAAGCACATAAGCTGAATTACAATTTTACAGTTTCCCAAAACCTTGAGAAACACCTGTTGGAATCATATCATGTTTAAAAGCTTACTTCTCTCACAGCTTCAGAACGAAAGTGAACAACGAGCTACAGAGGAGCCATTTTAGATAATAGCAAGACTTAGGAAAACCCCACTCTGCTCATGTTCACACTGACATGTACAATTACTACAGCATAATGCAGATGATTATAGTTGATATTAGAGATAAAATATGCTTCATAGTTGCTTATGAGGAACCTGCCGCACAGCTTGATTATTTCCAATGCAGAACCTTTTACCTTAAAAGCCAACGGCTATAATTGAAAGCCTATACCCTTTACTCTTATTTTACCACCATGACAAAGTTGTTACTGCAACTGTGTTGTAGCCTTCCAACTCAGTTTCAACATAAAGAACTTCTTGAGCTCTCAAAGTCGCCTTCTGCGAGAGCTGCTCTCCAGCATGCATCTCTAAACTCATTGGAGGAGTCTTTCGTTTTATGCTAAACACATTTGTCACATGTAGTCTTTTGTAATTAGCGTTATCCTGCTAGCCAGAGTTGGCAGATGGTTCACTGATCAGGGGAGTTTCTTTCATCTTCACGTCAATGACTTTATAAGTGCTTTTCCAGCAATCAGCTCTAACGTACACTTCATAAGCAGCACTTTGGCCACCCAGGTTTTCCTCCCTCTCTCTCCTCTCTCTCTCTCTCTCTCTCTCTGTCTCTCTTTCCAATATGGACCTTTAGCTCTGCCGTTTGACAAATTTGTCATAAAATTAAAATAATAAAATATTTAGTCATGTCCTGGGTATTGTTATGTAAAGCTACATGACTAAATATGAGATCATTCTTTCCACACGCATACGTTTTTTCTCTCCCGCTTTTGGCTTATTTATTTTTCTGTGGTTTTGGGAGGTTGTGACTGAAAGTCTGATGATATGCTGTGTGTGTTCCTCTTCTTACCCCTCCCTTCATTACTCCCCTCCACATTTCTGCTCTCTTCTCGATTTATACTCAAAAGGGAGTGATGAAAAATACAATTTTTTTACATTAGCTTGTTGTTCCAAAGTAAATCTCTGTGTTGACTTTCACACTTATGTGCATGCTCTTATGATTTGGCCTCATTCTTTCAATATTAGCTTTGTCTCTGTGGATGATGTTACTATCATAATAGCTGCATACAGTTAAGATTAAAAATATTTTTCCCCCCTTTTGTCCTTTCCATATTTCCCTAGTGTTTTGGGTGTAGGAGTTACACTGTCTAGACATCTCTGAGCCTCCCATTAACTCCTGATTACAGTGAGCCCTATTAATCTCACTGGCCAGGGCAGTTGCACACACACACACGCACACACACACACACACACACAAATGGGCAGACAGAAAATAAGACAGAAAATCAAATAAACTGAAGATATGAGGACCATTATGAATTGCAATGTTATTTCTGTGTGAAAAAAAAACAGATTTTGTTACCCTGCTTCCAGTCATCATGCTGAACTAAGTTAATCGGCCGTAGCTTCGTATTCAAGGCACCAGTATGCTTCATCCGAACTGTTTGTCAAATGGTTAAAAAGCTACCTTTCATACGTCATAATTCGGGACGCTCTGCACAACAATTTCTGCAACTTTCCAAAACAGCAATCCTACATTCACACCCGAAACAGGTATCCAGCTGTGAGGAGGGGAGAAAGTCAGCAGGGTTTAAACTTCTCTCTCTGGTCGGCTCTCTTCATTCTTTACACAACTAGTTCTCTCACTTTTCACTTCCAGCTATACACACTTTTGATTTACGACATGGTGGGACGACAAACCTCTTCTCTTCTAGCATGAACCAACCCTAAAAAATATCGAACAATTGTTTTTACTTAAAAATGATGCAGTCTCGCAATTAAGGAAAGCTCAACGGAAGGGCAGTACCTGAAAATAAAATATTTTGTGTTTCCACCTCTGTCCAACTGGAGAATGCAAAACACACACACAAACACACACACACACACACACACACACACACACACACACACACACACACACACACACACACACACACACAC